CGGTATACCGCAAACGCATGATTTCGCTCGCAACCTCCTGGCGGACTCGCGACGGACCAAATCCGGCAGTACACCGGTAAGTCAGAAGCTTGACTTTCGTTTCAATCCGACAGCAGCCAAATGGGTTCGTTCCTCGCCACCAGATGCGTTCGACCAAAGGCAAGTACCTGTGTCTTGCAGCTCGACAAGACGAATGTAAGAAGCATTACCTGAAACGACGTCCTGCTTGGAGTCAATATCCTGGTCAACTTTGGACTTTGCTGTACCTTAAGTCGTCATCTTGAACTACATCCTCTATTGCAAATGAATTTCGGACTGACCACTGAGCAGCTGCTGGAATCTGGCCAAAGAGAGATTGCGCTTCGCTTGGGTGATCAACAAGAACCAGGTCGCGTGTAAGACCATCTCATTCACGACAGGGGTCCGCGTTTCCTCCACATTCTGGTTTCAAGGTTCGCTTCCGGGCTGACCTAGCCCTCAATCAAGACTTTCACAACACGGCGCTTGTCGCATCCCCAGTGACGATGTGAGCTTGACTGTCGCGTACGACTTCCTGCAGCCACATGGGCATTCCGCGCAGAAGTGGTGCAAGTTTTGGGCCGAGGACCAGTTGACCGCTCTTGGTCGCAATAATCTAGTCTACCATGATCTTTGCAATGTCCTCGGGTTTTTTCAACGTGTTGCCATATTGCCTTTGTATCGTGACACTCAAGCGCGTCCTGATCCCCAGTGGGTACACGATTGACGTGTTGATCTGTGGACATTTATATCGATGTTTCAACTCCTGGGTCAAAGTCTCGTGAAAAGCCATCAGGCCAGCTTTCGTTGCAGCATAGTCTCCACAACCTGCCATGCCGACGAACGAAGCCATGCTGGAGGTAGCCATTACATGTCCTTTCTTCTTAGCGATCATGTCTGGGAGGAACTCTTGCACCGTAAACCAGTGACTGATCAGATTGAGCCCGACCAGGGTCTGCAGAAGCTTTGGCGAAAGATCGAGAATGCAGCTCGAGTTGCCTATCCCAGCATTGTTGATCAGGAGGGAGAACCATGGTCCGAGCGCAGTGCAGCAGCGGCTCTGTGTACAGCGTCCCGCGAAGTAAGATCGCATTGGTAGAAAGAGGCTAGACTGTTGCCATCTATGTACGAGCAAAGTTAGCGGCGACTGCAAGCCTAAGTGTGGGTCGAGATGAAAGCCTGGCGCGCACCGTTCTGGGCAGCTTCGGACAACGGCTGGATGTCAAGAACGGCGACCTTTACGCCATGCGAGGTCAGTTCGTTCACCACAGCAGCGCCGATGCCATGCGAGCCTCCAGTAACAACGGCAAGCTCCTTGTCCCACTGCCACGAGCTCTTGTCGTTGGCAAACATCCAGCGATTCTCGGCCCACGCGTTGAGAATGCTGTTGGTCTCGAGAACGAGGCAGGAGGCCAAGACCCACTTCAGCACACGAACGAGAAGCATGGACTGTTCGCCCGAGAGGGGTAAGAGTGTCGACACGCTGAAAGAGGAAGAGGTTGTCGAAAATGCGACCTAGGCTCCAGCAAGCACCAGACCTCGCATGGTGGCCATGGTGACGCCGCTGGGCAGCAGACTGTCGAACAGCAATCCCGAGTCGCCAGAAGGATGAGTATCGCACGTGTGGAGTGCCAAGATTCGTCTTGCGGCGAGTGAATGTGGAGCCAAGGACGCCTGAATGCTTCTGTTCACACGTACGCGGTGGAAGGTAGCCGGAGATTACACCATGGAGGCAGACAGTGGGCGACGCAGGTACCAGCGCTGAGCAGCGTGAGACGGAGAGCACGCTTCCGGGCCTGACTGAGGGCGATGATGGAGCACTGGGCGGACTTGTACGAGTTAGCCAGGAACGCGCCAGCCTAGCGCCTGCCTTACGAAGTCCGACGCGTGATGCTTGGCATTGCCGAATCAGCATCATCAGAATCTTCGGACATTGTCCTACGCCACCTTACACCCCCAGTGACCCCAGGCGTGTTTCAGAGCCTTCGCGCAATTGTCTGGAGCATCCTGCTGCATGCCGCTGGCCAGACTCCCGATCCGGCATTTCTGCCTCGGCAGCACCTTGACGCCGTTCCTATATCCTTCCTTGTCCGAAGCCTGCGCGCACTCGTTCGCCCGTCCATTCCTCGTCGCCAGACAAGCACGACCCGTAAGATGTAGTTCTTCCACCGCCGAGAGCGCAGGCGCTCAGTCCGAATCGCCCTACGACCAACCCTCCCATCTCAATCCCACGCCGGACAACTACACGTTGACGCCCTTTGCCGACCGATGCATCCTGACAGTAGAAGCGGGCGCTGGTGGCCACGGCTGTGTGTCGTTCCTACGCGAGAAGTACATTGAAGAAGGTCCTGCCAACGGCGGAGATGGTGGCAGCGGTGGCAACGTATACATCCAGGCAGTGCGCGGCGAGACCTCGCTGCACAAGCTTGCCCGGCGGCGGCTCTTGAAAGCTGGCAGGGGCAAGAACGGTCAGGGGAAAGTGAAAGGCGGAGAGCGCGGCGCAGACGTCCTCATTACAGTGCCCGTGGGCACCATTGTGCGCGAGATACAGCGGCAGGACCCGATAGCAGACGAAATCGCAGAGCAGGAGCGACTCGATCGCGGCCGCCCGCGCTGGCGCAAACCGAAGGCCGAGGAAAAGGAGAGGCAGCTCGAAGACGATGTAGAGCAGGGCGTCTATAGAAAGGACAAATGGCTGGTGTTCCCTGGTATGGTGCCATCGGAACTCAACAGACTGTCCTTCCCGCCTCTGCCGCCGCCCCGGAAGTCGCATCTGGCCGCACTCCAACAACAAGCTCCCATATGGCTTGATCTGGACAAACACATGGAAACTCCCATGCTTCTCGCTGCTGGAGCCATGGGCGGTCTGGGCAATCCTCACTTCGTTCTGCCCAACCAATATCGCCCGATGATGGCGACAAGAGGCGATACGGGCATGAAGCTGTCGCTGCAGCTGGAACTGAAGATATTGGCAGATCTTGGGCTTGTAGGTCTGCCCAATGCGGGGAAGAGCACATTGCTGCGAGCATTGAGCAACAGCCGAGCTCGCGTGGGCAATTGGGCCTTTACGACCTTGCAGCCGAACGTAGGTACCGTTGTGCTGGACGACCACAAGGGCCGACCCAAAGTCATCAAAAGGGGGCGAGACGGTTTGCTGCGCGACAACTTCACGATTGCTGACGTGCCTGGGTTGATCGAAGATGCGCACCTTGATAAAGGTCTGGGTCTCGGTTTCCTGCGCCATGTTGAAAGAGCTGCCGTTCTTGCGTTTGTCATCGACTTGTCCGCTGGCGATGCTGTCCAGGCTTTGAAACTTCTCTGGCGCGAAGTATCCGAGTACGAGACAATGCGAGGCAAAGAGCTTAACGCCGAGACGGAGCGCCGCATGGATCAAATGGTAACCTACCAGCCTCCAGGACGTCGCTCTACACCTAGCGACCCAGCAGACATGCTTGACTCGCCAGACTTCGACACATCGCTCGAGCCTCTAGAGTTCATCCCTACCACCCCCATCTCAGCGAAGCCGTGGTTCGTGATCGCGACGAAGGCCGACTTGCCGGAGACTCAGGACAACTACCAACAGCTGCAACAGTATCTGGGCGCTGTTAACAAGATGGCGGAACCGCACCCCAGTGGGCGCAAGAACGCTTGGAAGAAGGACATCCAGGCGGTTCCTGTGAGCGCCATTAAAGCTGAGGGCGTGGAGGTCATACCCCAGCTGGTGATGGATCTTCTAGAAGAATAAGATACCCCTCTCAATATATTCTCAATTTGTACGACCAGATGTTTGCATCACGTCACTGACAGTGACTTTGCTGAAGTCTCTCAATGCCCTTCATGCTTGCTCTCGCACGAACACGGAGTCAAGGTTCGAAGATCCAAACTCCATGCCAACTGCCTATGTACACTAGCATGACTTGGAATCCAACGTGTGTCCAAACCCGTGACCTGGTACGTCCACGCGAGTCGCCAGCTGACAAACCCCTATCTCATATGCGCCCACGGGTCTTCCGCACGTACTACACCAAACCCACAATAAGCCCGCGTCCATTTCCCCCATATATGCCTCCCGTTCCACCGCCGCCGCCGCCGCCCATCTCCGCCACTTTCGCTTACCGCACCCACTGCCAGCCTGCTGGTACGCGCCTGCCGTCCTACGGCCTGCCAAGCGATCTTACGCATCATCTCCGGCACACCCCTGCACGCATGTAAGCGAGCTGGGATGGGCAGAGGACTGTGTGGGTGAGATGGCAGAAGATATGAGAGGGTGATGATGTGTACGCTAGGTAGGAGGAGGTGGGGAAGCTGAAGGCTTGTTAAGAACGAGGACGAGATGGCGTTCAAATGTCGTCCACCCTACCAACGGAGCTGTCTGTTGTGCCAGACGATGCCTTGAAACATCATTCCACTATACACGAATCTTCTTGGTCGAGACGGCCGCTAGTGCTCTCCAACATCGTTTCTCGCGCACACATCGCAATGGTCTGGGCATAGGTGTCGCCAGGGAGTTTTGCAAACCACTGCCGGCGCTTGACGACTGAGGTTCGGTCTCTCTCAGCCCGTCCAGCTTATATGCTTACGGCGTTGGGATGTTCTTGTAGAAGGGATTTAACAAGGGTGGAGGTAGTTATGGTGGGGAGTTGTACCACCCACCGCAACTTCAATTCCTTGAGATATTCTCCATGTTTGATATGGGCATCATACATATCGCACATGATGAAGAAGCAAACCCAAATGAGGCCAAAAAAAAAAGCGAGCTGATGCGTTGGCTCAAATGCCGGTAATCCTGCGAGCCCGTAGTTTTGAACGAGCTGGGAAGCTTGTGGGTAGAGAACATTTTTAGAATGTAGTTATTATACATGTATTCAAGATATCTAAAAATAGTGAGAGGGCTGGTTCCGAGTGTGGGTGCGTAGGCGTTGGCTCATCCAACCGAAACAGGGGCAAAAAATAGACGGACATGCAGGAGCAAAAGAAACATTTTCCGACACCGGGAATCGAACCCGGGCCACATCGGTACCACTCCGAAGAGAGATGAGAGCGATGTATCCTAGCCACTAGACCATATCGGATGTTGGTTGGTGAATTGGTGAAAACGATTGCAGCGGGTTTATATATATAACAGTTAATCTAAGTCACTGACCGAAAGGCAGCGCAAGATCACGGAAAAGAGCTCTGCTAGAGCGGTTAGAGCTAGGCGGTGTGGCAGAACGTAAGTATTCCTACTTAGCGAACCGAGGGTGCCGGAGGGCACGACTGGGGCTAGTCCCTCAGCATCCTGGAACTAAACATCAATTGTTCGGACGGGGGGCCATTGACTATCATTATTAAGTTATTCAATTTAAAGACTTAAACCAATTTGAGATCCTATAGTTTCTTGATGTCGTAATTGACAGGAAGATGTTGCCCATCTTTTTGACATAGAAAAACGTCACATCGAAGATCAAAATAAATCGCCACATCTAACAGGAAGATGCCGCGGTACATTCCGCTTGAGTAAAGCATCTATCCAGGGTTTGAAATGTTATATAATGAGTTCAGGTGCATTTTCTTGCAAGTTACCGTTTCCTACAAGCAAGCGCGTCTACCACAGATTCTTAGCTATTCTTAATGACAAGATTGCGATCTCGAAAACAATTATGAAACACCCCGAGCGCCTAATTTGATCGGAACACATCTAACAAGTCACTCGTCAGCTTTTTGAAGTGAGTAAAAAAACAGGGATAGGTAGGTAAAGCGCGGAGGTGTGACTCTTCCCCGAAGCCGCTACCAGACCCCGCGACGTGCTACAAAAAGTTGCCCCGCGCCTTCTGACGCAACACCAACCCTCCGCAACCAAACACATAGCCAACATGGCCTCGAGAACATCAGCGTTCGACTTGTCAAAATGCGCCCGACCAAACATCCTCGCATTGGAGCCATACCGCTGCGCGCGCGAGTACGTCGGCTTGTGAGGCTGTGATCGAGCCACAACTTATACGGCGCAGTGACTACAAAGACGACGGCACAAACATTCTTCTCGACGCGAATGAGAACGCGATTGGTCCGGGGCTCGCGCTCAACAAGGATGGAAAGCTCACGAACGGCGCGTCAAATGGCTCAGGGCCGGCCATTGACATCGACTTGCTCGGTCTCAATCGATATCCCGATCCGTAAGTGGTCTTACCTTTGTGCACAGCAACGGGAGCTGACAACATGTCCAAGCCACCAAATAGAACTTAAGCAAGCCCTCTGCAACCTCCGCAATTTCAAAGTCCACACCTCGAAAACGCTCACTCCCGCCTCGCTCTTCGTTGGCGTCGGCTCAGACGAAGCTATCGATGCGCTCCTCCGCGCCTTCTGTGTCCCGGGCAAGGACAAGATCCTCGTGTGCCCGCCTACGTACGGCATGTACAGCGTCTCCGCACAAGTCAACGACGTCGCGCTTGTGAAAGTACCCCTACAGATACCAGGCTTCCAGCTTGACGTGCCTGCGATAAAGGACGCGTTAGCGAAGGACCCGAGCATCAAACTGGCATACCTCTGCTCGCCGGGCAACCCAACCGGCGCAGTGTTGAAGAAAGAGGACATCAAGCAGATACTGGAGCACGAGAGCTGGAACGGCGTCGTGGTGGTGGACGAGGCGTACATTGACTTTGCGCCCGACAACGCGAGTCTGGCAGAATGGGTAACGGAGTGGCCGAACTTGGTGGTTATGCAGACGCTTTCGAAAGGGTTCGGACTCGCAGGTATACGGTTGGGCGCCGTGTTCACAGACCCTGCGATCGCACGGATACTCAACTCGCTGAAGGCGCCGTACAATATCTCCAACCCGACCAGCCAACTCGCGCGCGCGGCGCTGGACCCGAAACACTTGGAGGTCATGTACAAGAACAAGGATTTGATTGTGAAGCAGAGGGAAAGGCTGCTCGCGGAGCTTCCTAAGATACCCGGTATTGGCAAGTTCATTGGAGGCGAGGAGTCAAATTTCCTGCTCTTCGAAATGCTGGATACGCCTGCGGATCAAGGTGGCAAACCCTCAAACGAAACGGCGTTGGCTGTTTATGAGGGATTGGCCGAAGAGAAGGGAGTTGTGGTGCGGTTCCGAGGAAAGGAGTATGGATGCTTGGGCTGCTTGAGGATTACGGTTGGCTCGGAGAAGGAAGTGGACCGTTTCTTGGAGGAGATCAAGGTCGTTTTGCAGAACATCTTCACCAAGTCTGTGAAGCCGGGAGCCAAGGCGGAAGAGAAGAGGGAAAATGAAGCCAATGACGTCGTGGCGTAGATCCTCTGTACACCATCAACTTCCGTTCTCACTTCTTTCTAAACGATTGACTCGGCCTTAGACATCTAGACCAAGCGATAATTACCTATCACCTCGAACAAAACTCGACCCTTCCATCACACCCGTTCTCAACTATCGCACACGAGAACAGACCACAACCTCTGCCCAACAACCCTGCTCATCCTTCCCTCCAATAACACCGATTGTTGACTCTCCGCGCGCATTTGCAAGCCGTGGCAAAACGTAGTACAGGTGCTCGGCAGGGTGCCAAAACACCATGCATTAACACCAACCCCTCCAACCTTACCTACCCTAACACCAACCACCCATTTTTCCCCATGGAACTTCATGACCCAATCTTCCAGTGGAAACTGTGCCCCATTCTCGTACATTTCCACATCCAGACTCTGAAGCTCAAGCCCCGTCTCAAGCTGAACACCAGGATCGATCGTCGTCAACATGGACCGGAACTTATCCGCGCTCGCACAATTCCCCTTGACGTTCGGGAGTTGGCATTAAGTCACACGCTGGGCGGGAGGAAGGGCTTTCCACCCCGCACCGGTGCTTCTACCAGCTTATGCGCAAGCTCCGCGTAGACCTTTCCATACGTTGGCATCGGCCTATCCCAGATGGTCCTCACGCCATCGTGTGCTGAGAACGCGAGCGCAGGGACGCCGTGCTCGCGGCGTACATGGTTACGTTGTCCGTGCCGGAGCCGGAGCCGTAGACCTGCTAGCCTATATCATATCCGACGTTTATCTCTGCGACAACGAGTTCGGCGGGAGACGTCGTGTTCCAGAGCGGGGGCGCGGACGCTGGTGCCGCTGTAGGAGTTTACGTAATTAAGGCCGGGGTTGGAGTGTTGTGGCCGACGGCTGGGAGAGGGGACAGGAGTTGTATTCGTAATCGTGGTGATTGGGAAGGGGTCTGGCGCCACATTGTGGCCGGTCGGCGGGTGTCAGGCGGAAGAGGAGAGCGTGAGCACTGGCCTTGGCCTTGGCCCAGCCGTCGTCGTCGGATTGGGGTATTCTGAGGGATTAAGCACGCTGTATAGGTGGGGATGCGGCAATGCTGCCGCAAAAGAAAGTCGCAGCAACTAGTAACTGGAGCTGCATTTTTGGCAGCAAAAGATTATAGACAAAGGTACGATAAGGATCATATCGTGGTGCCTAACGGATTCCACCATTCCCAACACGCTTTGGAACTGCTTCATTGTTTATCGAGCCGTCGAAGACCACAGCTGCAGGACACCATTAATCCATTTCCACTGCACGATGGACAACAGTCAATGCGGGCCTGCACATGATCCATCAAAGAGTTTCTTTTGTAAAAGACATATTGGTACTGGGATGAGAACCTTCGTTGAGGTGCAGGGACTGTCTTGGTGCTTTACTTTACTGGAGAGTCTCGAAAGTTGGTACCTTAGCGCGTTCCACTAGACGCGCGCCAATGTTCCTTTTTACTGTCATACACACTCATCGACGCCTCTGATGCTACATGCATGCCCACGGAGACGTGCACAGAGTATGCCAGCTTCACCATGCTCTCCGACACCGGCCAGTGTTCGGCCATACGGGGGCCATCGTCGAACTCAACCCGACGCCTGGATCGTCCAAAACCAGCAAGCGTAAGAAGTAGTACACCGAGAACGAAAACAAGTTATCGTTGATTCGTTGTTCCAAGTCCAACCGTGCTTGCAACCAAGTCCCTGAAAGGCCTCTGCAACACCACCATGCTTAAGAAAACCGTCGTGAGACTTACGTCACAACAACCCTGTGCAACATTCGTCGCCTATCAAACAACCTTGGGGTGGTATAATATCGGATCAAGCTGTCTCCCACATGGTCAGCCCGGAAACCGCGAGGCGACCACGGCTTCAGACGGTTGCACATGCGCAAAGTGTTCTGACGGATGCAGCGGAGACCCACACACGACCAGGGTTCACCCGCGCCACTAACGTGCGCCGATACTACGCTGCAATGAAGAGCATCTGAATAGGAAATTGCTCTCTACTAACGGCTACCTGCTGCAATCGCTCTGACAGATTGAAATTCTCTCCGTTTCAGCCATAGTTTTCCACTTACCGAATGCATGGCACGGTCACTAGGGTTACTCGAGGTTTTCATGTACCAATGTTCCTTATCATTTGTCGACAAGACATTTCCAGCATCGTTCAGACACTCTTGAAATCATGTCATTAGATGATAATACCCGGGGTCGGCAGGCCGTCATCCTCTCGAGTGTGTTCAGCGCTCTCGCTATCTTCACGGTGCTTTTGCGTTTGTATACTCGCTTATTCGTCATTCGTTGTCCTGGGGTTGAAGATTACTTCATTTCTATTGCTCTGGTATGGCATTCAAATCTTGAAGAAGCATGGCTAACGCAATCCTAGGTATGCTCCATCGGCCTCACCATCTGCATTGGCATTCGTGAGTACCCTCGCTACACTCAGTACAAGAGAGGAACCAACCTGTGACAGAAACCCAATATGGAATGGGTCTGCATATATGGGACTTGCAGCCTGCGGATTCGCTACATTCGCTGAAGGTACGCCCACTCATCCAATGCTGCTGCAACGGCTGATTTTCTCGCCAAGGCTTTCTACGCGAGTCTCATTGTTTACTACCTTTCACTCGGCTTTACGAAGGTCTCGATTCTTCTACAGTATCGTCGTGTATTCTCCACGAAGAAGTTCCAGATCGCTTGCTGGGCTATCATGGTGGTCGTCATGATTTACGCTTTCTGGACAGTATTGAGCAGCATATTTGGATGCAAGCCAATCCAAGCCTTCTGGACGCTGAAGCACCC